CACGCCGGGGACACGTCCGCCGCCTCGTTTCGCCCGCGTCCCCATGCCGGGGTTCACCCTCCGCTCCCCGTCCCCCAGGCTGGAGTACAAATACTCCAAGCTGGTGATGAACTCCACGGCCAAGGACAGTGAGCTGCCAGCCCCGGACAGCTGCGCCATCATGGAGGGGGAGGACGCCGAGGACGACCTCATCTTCACCAGCAAGAAGTCTCTTTTCGGCAAGATCAAGTCATTCACCTCCAAGGTAGGTGCAGGCCATGGCCGGATCGTGCTCCCTGGTCCCATGGGCGCCCATTCCCCTCCGCTTGGGCCGGAGGTTGAGCACAGCCCTGGAGTAGCCACCGGAGAAGCCCCAGCCGGGCGCCTCTTGCCTCGCTTTCCCACAGAGGACGGCAGACGGCTTCGACTCGGTCCCGCTCAAGACATCGTCCGGCAGCACCGACATGGAGATGTGAGGGGGAAGACGGACCGGGGGGAGCCCCCGGCCTGGCCTTCCCGCCCCAAACCTCCCACGTGGCCTTACGGATACAGGGCGAACTGGAGCTTCGTATCGCTTTTATACACCCCCCTCCCCAGAAAAAACCCTGTCCCTCCCGCCCCGGCGAGAGGGCAGAGATGAGAACTGCCAAATATAGGTGTGGTTTTCTTAAAATGCCACCTTGGCCAGTCTGTGTGTCCCAGTGCTGCCAGCGGGGCCAGGGCATCGGAGACGGCCCCGGCATCGCTGTCCCCCTGTCCCGATACCCTGGACATGCACACGTGTGCACATGCACACGCGTGTGCATGAGCGTGCAGAGGACACGCGGGGTGCCCGGCTACGTGCCCGGGGACCCGGCTCTGCGTGTGGGACAGGCGGTGCCGTCGGAGCCGGGTCCCCACTGCCCCCCCCCGTGCCCTGGCACACGATCCGCACCGGATCTCCCCATGGCACCAGGATCCCAGGACACCATGTACGGACCTTGGCAGCTCTGTGGGACACTTCCGCACCGTCCGGTTTAGCACCGAGCCCCAGCCCCCGTTCTGGACCCCCAGGCTCCTTTTTACAGTTTTCAGCATTTTCTAGGTCGGGCCAGGGAGGAGCCGCATGTCCCCGGCAGCTCAATAAAGACAAACGTTTCCGACTCGCGGGTAGCAGCTCCATGTCCGGGGGAATGAGAGGAACTGGCCCAGGGGCCATGGGAGGACCAAGTCAGGAGCGCAGATACAGCAATACCCAGGAGATGCGGGGATGCAGTGGGATGCAGGGATGCCCAGAGATGCCCAGAGATGCAGGGATGAAGCGGGTTTTGCAGGGATGTGGGGATGGCTGGGACATGCAGGGATGCCCACAGAGGCAAGAACCCCTCTGTCCCGGGGATCTCTGGGAGGACAGGATACAGGAGTTGCAGGGGGTGGCAGGATGCCCAGGGCTCCAGGATGCCCCGGGATACTGGGGCACTCAGGGATGCTGAATGGTGTGGGAATACTGGGATGCGTGGGGATAATGGGATGTGCAGGGATGAAAAGGAGCATGTGGGGAGAGATACCAGCATGTCTAGAAATGCACAAGGATGCTCAGGGACTCTCAAACGCCCAGGATACTCAAGGATATGGGCTGCCCTGGAATGCTGGGAGATGCAGGGATGGTCAGGGATATGGGGGTGTCCAGGGATGCTGGGGTAATGGAGGATGCCGGATACTCAGAATGCAGGGGACACTGGGACACAGGGAGTCCCAGGACAGCAGGATACAGGGGACACAAGGATGCAGGGTGCCCCAGGACACGGGGATGCAGGGGGTCCCAGGACACTGGGACACACGGGACACTGAGACACCAGGACATGGGGGACACCGGGATGCAGGACGCACCGGGACACAGGGGCACCGGGATGTGGGGGGCACCGGAAGACGGCGGGCACCGGGACGCTGGGGGCACCGGGACAGAGGGGCAGCGGGACACAGAGGGCACAGGGACATGGGGGATCCCAGGACGCGGGGGCACCGGGACACGGAGGATCCCAGGACGCGGGAACACCGGGGCGCCGGGGCCCCC